ATCTTCCAAATTAAATTGCAAAATGGTCCCTAAGACGAAAAATAATTACTTTACAGTAATTACACAAAACCCCTAAAGTTTATAAAATTACAAAAAAGTCATGCATCTATACTCTTTACAAGAAAAGGAAGCATTTAGCATGCTTTTATACAAAAGTGAAAATACACATAGTATGGAATTTAAATATCGTGGATGCATGCAAAACCGGAATCGAATAAAGTGAAGTTATGCCAACAAAGTGACAACCGAGAAAAAGACGAAAGTGAATAGTGTCACAAAAGTGAAAATATGAAAATGACTCGGTCCTCAAAGGAAGTCGTCAATCCAAGGAAAAGAGTCTCGGAAACCATCCCCGAGCACTCAAGATGACACTAAGTGACGAGAAACTGAACTCAGAAAGGAAAAGATCAACGGAAAAAAAATATCCGTGAAAATCTGAGAAAATGAAAGGAAGGAAAATGGCTGGGTCATTATAGCTATAAAGACTATCCCAAATATTCCAAGTAATGGATACAAAGTAGCCTTAGAGTTGCAAGAAATCAAAGTCATATCCAATCAAAGAAAACTCGGACTACAATGATCACTCAAGCATTTCAAAGAAAGAAAGCAAGTCTTCATCAAGCCTGAACGATCATGGTCAAAGAATGATGAAAAGGGTAGATAGAATGGTGAGAGCTTAGGACTTAATGTCAAAGTATATTTGAATATATTTTAAAGCTCAAAATTATAGGATAATGCATATTCACTCTTATTCAGTTTTTAAATGCCTAAAAATTGCTCATGAACTTCATATATACACTTACACATTAGCTCCACATGATAGGAAGTGTATAGAACTTAATTCAATCCATTTTTAGTCATGCACAGCAATGGAGCCACCTCCATGAAGAGTATAGTAGGCTCTTTTTATTCCAGTAGCCAATCCTTGGCACAAGAAGCTCACTTCCAGGTAGAGAGCTGCCTCCCAAAATTGGGAGCAGCCTCCATGAAGATAGAGCCGCCTCTATAAGAAATAGAGCCGGCTCTCTCAAGGCAAAGGGAGCCGCCTCTCTTTAGGACAGAGCCACCTCTTTCCTTATCAGATTCAAACTCAACGGATATCTTTGCATTTAATGCCTCCAACCACCTCTAAAAGTTATATTGAGTTTCGAATTTCTATAAATACAGAGGGCTGGTCTACTGAACGGATACACCCCTTGAAAGAGCATTCAAGAAGAGCATCCAAGAGCATTCAAGAGCCATAAATATTTTCCCTTGAGCATTCATTTATATCACTACATTCTCTGCTCACATCATCTTAGAGCTTGAGCTTCATTTATATTCTTATCTACTCTAGTTGTGAGTTGAAATTGTATATCTTTTCTTTGAAAGAGAAACAATCTTGTATTTTACTTATATTACTTCAAACTTGTAAAGGTTGGTGTAACCCAAAAGAAGCCTAGGAGAATGGTGTTCTCCTAGCAAGGAAGAGAAGTAAGGTCTTACTTTATTTGAGGGTTTGCTCTCCACCATTAAGAAGAAGCTCTAGTGAATTTGGGAAGTCTCAAAGGGGACCTTGAGTCGAGGAGTACGAGTTTCCGAACCTCGCTAAATCGCTGAGTCATTGTTTGCAATTTCTTATCTCTATCTGTTTTATACTTATGCTATATATTGCTTAACTATCTCAATTGATTATTGCATGATAGTTAGTTAGAAATAATTTTTATAAATTGCAAAAATTGGCCATTGACTCTATTCATCCCCCTCTAGAGTCAATTAGTGATTAACAATACCTTTTTAAGCTGACTATTGATAAGATTACATCTTTACCCTTTGAAGGTAATCTTTGGACCCTTTTGCCTTTTGTAGAAGATCTTAGACTTTTTTGCCCTCTTGATGTATTATCCTTCAGCACCCTAACTCATCTGAGTACTATATTTCTATTTCACTCACTCAACAATTAAATATTAAAACACATTGTGTGAGATTTGCTAATCACATTACTAGAATCCTAAAAATCTTTAACAACTTGAAATTTGCAAACCTGTGCCATTAATCAGTTTAGTGATGTTCTTCCTATCTATTCAGCCTTGAGTCGATTGACTTGAAGAAGCAAGATGAATTGTTGTCCCTAAAAGCAACCAATAGATCCTTGATTTCTGCCTAGCATGCTTTCTTTTGCATTAGAAAGTTGTATATAGTTTTTGATCAATTCTTTTCCTACAGTGTGATAATAGAGCTATGTGGGTTGGAGTCCAAGATTAATTGGCAATGAGTGTGTTGTTGTTTGACTGCTGAAACTTTTAGAAAGATCAGGAAATTTCTTACAGGTGTCTGTTAGTTTATGTTTTATCAACTTTAACTTTTGACCACTTGCCACATGGAGTTGCCACGGATGCATGTATGATTTCCAAACTTTGCCAATTGGAAAAAATATACAAGGTGGGCCCTCACTTTTGTTATTCCATGTATGGATGGTACCTTGGAATATGAGCTCCTCAAAGGTTGGATTCCTCACTTTTGTAGCTAGGTTTTGAAATCTGTACGTTATAGTAGGGTTCCATCTAGAATAACCACCAAAGCTTTCACAAACATCATCAACAATGGCGTTGAAGATTCCAAGTTAACAATGTCTCCATCTCTTCAAGGGTTCTACCTTATGTCTCCAAGACACTCATGCAATCCCCTCATGTAGATATTAAATACCAACACCTTCAAATTTATCATAATTAATCAAAATATTTCAATTACCCTTATGCATGAAACCTTTAAGTCAATATATTGAATTGAATACCTAACAAAATTATATTTAAGTGGTCAGAGAGCATTCTCTGTCTGGCATATTCATTTTCTTAAAAACGAGTACAAACAAGTATACTCACACACTCAATGCGATTTCTTACTCTTCAACACCCAAAATCAAGACTCATGAAAAAAAAAACAACTCTATTGAACACGTGAATTTACCAACACAAAAACTTAGCTTGAACTTGTGCCAATTCATGCACTATTTAATATTCTTTGTCTCAAAATAAACATTCCCCTCCCTCCCTCTCTCTCTCTCTCTCTCTCTCTCTATTTTGAATGTTTCAAAATAAATGTCTCATTTTTAAATTTAATATTAAAAAAAAGAATAATGTTATTAAGAGAGCATTCTCTTGAGTATACTAATGAGCTTCCTTTTTGCAATTCTTGAATTAAAAAAGTTTAGAGATTAATGAAAGTTGAGAACGGTAATTAAAAGGGGACGTTAGTTTCCTATTTTGTGAGCATTTCTTTTTGGAAAAAGAAAAGAAAAAAATTGTTTCTCTCCCTCTATGTTTTTTTAGCAAGTAACATGTCACTCTTTAAATCTCTCTTCATAAAATTTCTCCATTTAAAATTTTATGAATCACTGTATCTTTATACAATCTTATAAGATCCAAGATTATGAAATTTCTATGTATTGTTGTATTTGATAAATTTGAGTACCAAACATTCTAACTAATCACACTTCTTTTTGTCTTCTTGATGTGTGAAAAATGAAGAAAAAATTACAGTTGTTTTATTGTTTTATTCTTAATATCCTTCTTTCAATAACTTTTTATATTTTTTTTGTATATCGCAATATTTAATCTTCTTATTTTTCTGATATTTTTTTTTTTGTAAAAAATTAATGATGTAAAATCTCCTAATTTCCAAAAAGTTAATGATGTAAAGACTTCTTCCATTTGGAAGAGTATTATGGCAGTTAGAGAACTTATCAAATCAAACTGTACATACAAAATTTGAGATGGCAGGAGATTAAATTTTTTATGGATCCTTGTGTGATGGGAAAACGATCACAGAGCTCTTTAATCACAGGATTTTAACTCATCTTAGCAGAAGTAAAAAAGAGAGTTGTTGGTGATTATATTGATTCTATTACTAATGGTACCTTCGAATTTCTCTTGCAGTACCCAATTATGGGAGGGGAGGATAATTTTGAGTGGTATCCAAAGGAATTTACATTTTAGGGTGCATGGAATGTCTGCAGAACCAGAAGAATTGAGGTTTTTTGGGTTGGTTTGTGTTGGAATGGAGAAAGACCAAGATGGTCTGTTATTGCTGTAATGGTATTACAGAATGATATTCTCACTAATGATTATCTGCAAAAAAAGAGGGGTTAGCTTAGCTCTAGATGCTGGCTGTGCTACAAAGAGAGGGAAGGGGTTGACCATTTGTTTTGTGGCTGTGAGTTTACATGGCAGGTTTGGATGGAACTTGCTATTTTGTGCAGATGGAAGTTACATATATATTTCTCAATCAAAGGGATGGCCAAAGACTTTGTTCAGAAGTTTAAAGTGAACAATACTAGAAATAAAATTTGCAAGTTGGTGTTCATAACTATGCTTTACTTCATTTGGAAGGAGAGAAATGATATGGTACATAATGACAAATGCTTTAATCCTAAAGAGATTGGCAAGTGCATCATGTGGGAGACACTTGATATTGTAAGACTTTGTTTACGTGATGTTATCTTAATGTTTGCATAGTTTTAAGGTTATTTTTCATATGCTTATGCATTTTCTTCTTTTCGGAGGGGATGCCTGTAAATAAGGGTCAGGTATACCCCTCTGAATTTTTGTATTTTATTGTTCATATTTATATAAAACTTTCCTCCATTTAGAGAAAAAAAAAAAAAAAAAAAACAAAATTTAAAGCTCTAGAAGCTAGAGTGTTGTAGTGTTAAATGGATTACATACAAATTAATTGTACTATAAAAGAAGGGGGGCGTAATCGTTTGGCCCGTTTGGCTAAACACAACAACTACTCTTTATCTTCTCTCCCCCAATCAAACGAAAGTAAAAGACCAAAAACACCCTACAATTGCCGAAGAAGAAAATTCTATTTTATATTCTTCCAATTATTAATACAACAATAAAAATATTCACGGGTAAAAATATACTTTTCTCTTTACTATTTTTCTCAGTGAAATTCTCTGAATAGAGGAGGTGATCTCTCTTTGGTCTTCTAAGCCCTCTTTTGTTTTTATCTTTTGATATATATATATATATATATATATGTATATATATATTCTTTGATTCTTGTGAAAACAAACTACTTGTAACTTCTGTGTCGATCGACACCAATTGACATCAGGCATTTCTGGTGATGTAGGACCGGAGAGGATACCGGCGACGACGACGGCGAGCTACGACTTCGAAACGAAATCGAAAGGAGGTCGGCGAGAAGCAGCCGACAGCGTTCCGGTCTGAAGGTTCCGGCGATAAACGCTGGTACATTTTTTTTTTTTAGCGTCTTCTTCTCCTTTTTCTGGGCAGCGAAGGTCTGATTAGGGTTTTAGGGACAGTGGTGGGTGGATTTTTGTGAGAGAAACAGTAAATTGATGGTTTGTGTTGGGTGTTTTAGGACTAAATTTGGTGTTGATTTGATGAAATTACTTTAGGTTAAGGTAATGGTCGTCGATGAACAGTAAGATTGTGTGGGTTTTTTTTTTATTTTTTATTTTTTATATTTTATTTTAATTGTGTTGTTGATGTTTAATTCAGAATTCCATCAGTGTTAGCTAATGATACAAAGATGAGTCATCGGCCGACTACGCGCAGCAAAAACAAAAGGCACAAGGTGGACGACAATGCTCGAAACACTTCCCTAGTATTTAGGTAACACACCACTCCACACCACTTCTAAAGCAAAATGATTTACCTTTTAAGACAATAACCAAAGGTCAATTTCTGGTTTCTTGTCTATTAGAACAAAAATTGTTTTGATTTTTTTTCCCCCCAAGTAAAAACTAGAAAAGAGTGTGTTCACAGTGCCAGTAGTACCCTACTTCCTAAATGTTGTTTTTGAAAGCAATTCTTGAATTTAGCTCAATGGATAAAGAAAACCCAATTTCCCATTGCATGCAAAACACTATCTTTGACATCTTACTTTTGAAAAGAAAATCTTTAATTTGATCAGTTTTTCTCCGAAAAGCAAGAATTCTGCTTTGAATCATAAACACACTACCATTGTTTTCTTAAAATTTGAAACTTTTTGACCATGTAGGAAAATTCACTCAGTGGGTCAAGTGACTGTAGACGATGTAAATCAGCTGTACATGATTTGGAAGCCTGTTTGTCAAGGTTGTAGAGTGAATACAAAAGACAACCCAAATTGTTTTTGTGGATTGGTTCCCCCTCTCAATGGAGTTCGAAAATCTGGCTTATGGCAGAAGACATCTGAGATTATTCTTTCACTTGGTCCGGACGTGTCCTCAGACCTTCGTTCTTCCACTAATTCACCTGCGGGCCTCACAAATCTAGGTGCAACATGCTATGCCAACAGCATACTACAATGCCTGTACATGAACAAGTCATTCAGAGAAGGTGTGTTCTCTGTTGAACCAGAGGTTCTGAAAGAACAACCAGTGTTGCATCAGCTTGCACGGCTATTTGCGCAGTTGCATTCTAGTAAAATGGCTTTTGTTGATTCAGCTCCATTTATAAAAACTCTGGAGCTAGATAATGGTATTCAGCAGGATAGCCATGAGTTCCTCACCTTGCTTTTCTCTTTGCTTGAGCGATGTCTAAGCTGTTCTAAAGTTTCTAAAGCAAAAACAATTATCCAAGATCTTTTCTGTGGAAAAGTGTCGCATGTGACCACGTAAGTTTGGAGTTGCTTTGATTCTAATTTCACTATGTGGTTTCTCCCATTTTCATCAAGTTCAAATTCTCAACCACATGATTATGACTCTTACATTGACTTGGAAATTTGGTGCCTTTCATCCAAACTTGCATTATTTGCTAGGCTAACTTCCTCACTTAGAATTGGCAAAGGCAAAGGGAGTTTAATGAAAGAGGTTTTATGTTTAAATCACCATCATGATTCTATCAAAACTTTGTCTGTTCTAACTTTCCCCACATAGGGCATAACTTTGAAGGGAATAATGATCTTGTTCCCACAAATTTGCCTATTCTTCTGATTTGATTGATTTATTTATTATTATTATTATTATTTTTACACAAAGTGGTTTTTGTTTTTTCATAATTTTTTAAACACAGTTTTTTTTACACAGAGTGGTTACCGACAAATACTAAGCTTACCTCTAAATTCTTGAATCCTTGTTTTGTGCACCTCATAGTTCTCTGTTACTCGGTAAGGTAAATATCAAAAATTATTGTTTAGCTCCTTATCAGTTTTTCTGAGAATTTTGAATTATTACAATTATGTTGAATAAAGATTAGAACTCCCTTTCGTTGCTTTCTTTCCCTCCAATGACTCCACCAACACTAAGTTGCATGTAAATCTTCCTTTCCTTCTATTAACATGTTAGGGTTGTATGTAGACTTGAACCATTGATAGACATGAATTGAGAACTTATGCTGGCCTCTGGCAGTGTTGATAACATCTTATTAGCAGTTTGGCATTAAAAAAAAAAAAAAAAAAGAGGAGAAGAAGAAAAGCGATAAAGAAAAATTATGTTCAGAGTTGCAGACTGACCTTGTTGTAAATGGCTTTCTTCATGTGTTGGGGAGTAGATATGCCGTAAATCCTGTTAGTACTTTCTCTCTTATTTTATTCTTTTATGGATCACATGTGTTTCTTTTTAGTAACAATAATATGCTTATTTTAGCTCTCTGGTGATAAAGTCCTCTGCCCTATTCAAGTTTGTAATTTCTTAGGGGTTTAATATTCTTATAATCAAATAAAAAGTTGAAAAGATCTAATTTTTTTTTTTTTTTTTTTTTTTTTCACCTTATATTTTGGAAAGCTATTTGTTGGTTATGTTTTTCTTTTATAACATGTAAACAGTTGCATAGCCAATCCTGTCTAAAACTAGTGCCTATGCATGAGATGAAAACTTGTCTTTGCTCAACTTTTTATTTGTTAATTGATGATCTAGGTGCTCAAGATGTGGAAAAGATTCTGAAGCTTCCTCGAAAACGGAAGACTTTTATGGGCTTGAGTTGAATATCAAGGGTTTGAAAAGTTTAGATGACAGTTTAGATGATTACCTTAGTGTGGAAGAACTTCAAGGGGATAACCAATATTATTGTGAGTCATGTGACATTCGGGTTGATGCTACCCGTAGCATTAAGCTGCGTTCTCTGCCTGCTGTCCTTAATTTTCAGCTCAAGCGATGTGTTTTCGTTCCAAAGGTACTAAAATTATTATTTGGAGAACATGTTTTTCCATCCTTTTTGTTATTTTTGTAAATCTTCTACAAGTGATAAATATGTAACTGCTTCTTTTATATATTATTTAATCTTCCATGCCTTTCTTTTTGGTTGACCTTAAAATGCATTTTAGAGTTACTGAGAATTATACATGTAAAAATATAAGTGGGAGTTAAAGCACATCAAAAAAATAACCTTCATAAATTAATAAGCCCATATATTTGATTTACAGAAAGCTTTCAAGTTCTCTTCCAGATGATAATAAATTTGTGAAAAACAAATCCTTTCACCTCTTTCAATATAGAGTTATGCTAGCTCCTAAAAGCTTTATTTGTCATATATCATTTGATTGTTACTCACAATCAACACTGAAAGAAAACTACTTATCTCAAATTCTTCCTAGAAAGGAGAAGGCTTTTCTTTTGGCTTATGACAATTATGGTGCAGTCTACTGGATTAGTTTAATGATGTAGTGCCACATCTCTGGTCTCTTGCCTTTTGCAATGGATGTCTCAATCTAGCTTATCATTTGATTATCAGTCAGAATAAATTGCAATATGGGATCGCGTAAGAAAGCTACTTATCTCAAGTTCTTCCTGGAAAAGAGAATGCTTTCTTTTGGTTTATGGCAATTAGTGTGCAGTCTACCGGATTATATTGTGCTCCGTTTGGATGTCTATTACATGTCACACAATATGGGTGCTTTATATTTATTTATTTTTTTTTGGATTTTGATGTTGATAATAGATGTTACAGTTATTGGTTCATCACCTTAACATGTTCTTCAAGGTTAACTGCTTGTTATTTAGGAGATCCTATAAAAAAAAAAAATAATAATAACAAAAATAAAAAATAGGAGATCCTAAGCCTATGCTGTTCTTAATCTAAAGCTTCAATTTTATCATACACAATGTTGCTACTAATTGGGAAATTAGTTATTAGCTGTGTGATGTCTTGCATACTGGGGCATTACCCATTGGCCTAGTTGGTAGAGCGCCCCGAGTGGGTGTGCCCGTATTTGAGTCCCCCCTCCCTAGTATGCGAGGGGAAAAAAAAATAGATGACGTCTTGCATAATGAAAGACAAAAAATCAGGTGGCACCTAGGTGATTAATCAGGCTGTTGTGTATACAATGTATGCCTTTTAAACTGTTAAGCTCCTGCACACTGTTTTGGGCTCCTTTAATGAAATCTGATTTTCAACACCAAAGCTCTATTCAAGTACCTGACTCCGTACTTTATACTCGTTTCTGGTGTGTTTGAGGAGGAGGATTCCCAACTACTCTAGTGCTGAATTAATTGGTTGTGATCAAATATCTTAGAAGTCTCTGCATCCTCTTGTTCTCTGGGCTAACTATTATTCAAATTGCCGTCTTCTTTGTTCCTTATTGTTCTTCTGTTTCATGGTCTAGTTGTCGTTCCATATTAAAGAAGCCAAATATATATATATATATAGTGTTGAAGTAGCTCTGGTAAAATTTTCCTTCTTTATTCTCTATATTTTACTCATTCCATTGTTTCTCCTGTTAACTGCTGTAGAGTACAACAAAGAAGAAAATCACTTCTCCATTCTGCTTTCCTGGAAAACTGGATATGAGGCACAGACTGTCTGAGCATTCCGAATCAGATGTAATATATGATTTATCAGCTGTGTTGATTCATAAGGGAACTGCTGTAAATAGTGGCCATTACATAGCCCATATCAAGGATGAGAATACGGACCAATGGTGGAAATTTGATGATGAATATGTCTCAAACTTAGGTCAACACCCATTTGGAGAAGGAGCTTCAAATTCTGTTGCTAAACCTGTTCAAACTGAGGCAATTGCCCGTTCATCTTCCTCTGAACCAATGGATGCTGTTGTGATTGAAAATCATGTAGATGTTAGTCTATCAAAATCCTCAGAAGCTAATGTTCTTAGTCATGTAGAGACATTTTCATCTAGTGATGCATACATGCTGATGTATGTGCTTAGGTGTTCAAAGAATGATGGTGAAAAACCACATATGGAGTCTGGTGGCAACAATATGGAGAAAAAAGGTGATATTGTTTCCCCACAAAGTGATGTTTCTCTTCCTTCTCATCTCTCTGAAGAGTTAAAACAATTGAATGCTTCATATCTTGATGCTTGTCAACTATACAAAACGAAAAAGGAATCAGAGTTGAATCGTATAACAGAGCGGCGACAGGAAGTGCGATCAGTTATTTCTGAAGCCCCTGTTCAATCACTTGGGGAGCCATATTATTGGATTTCTACTGACTGGCTTCGCCAATGGGCTGACAGCATATCTCCATCGTAAGCATGAGTTAGTTTATTTCAAACTTTATTTCAAGTGAGCGGTTAGTTCCAAAAATATTTTTCTGCAGTGCCGAAGTCACAATCCCGTTTTACATATTCTACAGTTTTCATTTAAGCTTGTAGTTGTGTTCTGTTTATGGTGCATCTTTGATCTTGTTTCTGTTATATTTGGTTTACTTCAATGAGAGAGAAAATAAAGGGAACATCCCATGAGTCATGGCTCATAGTGGGTCTGTTGTGACCAAAAGTTATTAATTTCAACTTTTTATGGATCTACTTTGTAACCTCCTGCAGTATTATTGACAACACTCCTGTCCAATGCTTGCATGGGAAAGTTCCAGTTTCAAAGATTGGTTCAATGAAGCGATTGTCGTCTAAAGCTTGGAACATGTTATTCTCTAAGGTAACCATGTGTGTGGTTGGAGTAAATGCTGTCGCTTGAACTTTAAACTAGTTTGTCAGAAACTGTTATCATGCTTTCTATAGCTATTATTTTATCTGATTTTTTTCTTTCTTTTAAAGTAATTAATTTGATTATTCAATCTTTTAAATCACATACAAGTACACAGCTTTTGCTAGTACTGTTTTTTGATATGGGGGGTAAAATTCAAAATAAAATGATGATTACCTAGTGTTGGTACTGCTAATGTGGGGTGTATGAGGGATGAATGACACAAATTTAGGAATGACACAAATTTAGGGATGGCAATGGGGCAGGTTTGGGGCCCCTTCCCTGTCCCCATTTAACCGAGTACAGCCGTCCCCGCCCAAAGCTGTTTAGCAAACGACCATCGTGCCCCCCCCCCCCCCCCCCCCCCAAATTTTCTCATTCATATTTAAGAAGATAAACCAAATAAACAATAACATTTCTTAAAAGCCTGGTGAGATTGAATGAACATGTTATGACTTATTTTTTTTATCAATTACAGAGATTAAATTAAAGATTTGTTCTATAAAATCCATGATATTATGTCTGTTGAAAACATTGGATTGATACTATGTTTGCTAGACAATTAATAAAAAAAAACTGGCATAGAAGAAATACTTCCACATGAAAGGGTGAATCGCTTCCTGATGTCTGTAATCTCAAACAATAATGAAACCATCAACCCTCTCACATCCAATATGTTCAAAGACCCAAACAAGAATAAATATTGTATTAAATTGTAAACCTGTTTGCAGCGTAAATAAAAAGCGAGAGATGTTGACACAACATTCACCATCTCATATCAACAGAAGGATCTTTCGGATAAGCTTAAATATGGGCACCGTTCAATTCTAGACGCACTGAGACGGCTAGGTACACTGATCGGGAACCGCTATAAGCACTGATCGGAGATGGCTAGGTGCATGGTTGAGCTCTCTAGAAGCGGCTGTGGCTGAAATGGTTACAGCCTTACAGGATATGAGTCATATGACTTATGTTAGGGTTTCTTAAGCTATATATATTTAAGGGGATTTTTTATATAATATAAACTATAAGGGTAAATGGTAAATTCATAGTATAAACAAGGTGGGGAGACCATTCCCCGTCGGCTGTCCCGCCCTGCACCCGCATGGATTTTCGTTATTAAACCCCGTCCCCATTCAAAGCCCTTGAACGGTCCCCCATTTCTGTTTTAAACTTTGCAATCCCTACCCACAATGCTAACCTCTGACATTATTTACATGTGGCTGCCGTTAGGCTTAGACCTGCATTCTTGACAGCCCGGGCTTATACCATTGCACCAAGCAATGGTCCTTAGGGTAGAATTTCAAGTGTTGGAGATATTTTGTTTCGCCCAACATTTTCTAATTCAGGCTTTTCTGTTGTTTATGTACAAATTTTATCCGTGTGTTTTATTTAGTATGGATACATAGGATTCATGTAGCCGACCCCAAGTAGTTGGGAAAATGGCTTGGTTTTTGATGTTGTTTTATTGAGATTAGATGCCATGGATTTGTTTTCCCGATTCTTCTGTTCTGCTACTCGTTAGCTGTAATATTGTTGTTGATATATATGTATCTAATGTTGTCAATCTAGTATGATGGGGGCCCGACATTGGCCATGGATGACTACTGTGTTGATTGCCTTCTCGAAGGGGCACATACTATGGTCTCTGCTGATAGCTATAAGGATCGAAGAAAATTGATGGTAGAACTTGCTGTGGCTGTAGTTGCGGGGAAGTGTCTAGATGGAACGTTGTATTATGTATCTAAGACATGGTATGACATTATAAAATATTTGACTAGTTTTCTGTTTGAATACTGGTGCCTATATTATTGCTTGTTTCATAAGTTCTTATCAAAAAAAATTTCTGAACTTGGAATTTCGCTAAACGCAAGAAAGGATTTGTGAAGGAATTTCACCGTACTTTTGAGGAAGAAAAGCCTAAGAACTTGATCATGTTCAGCTAAATACACTCTGTGTCACTGTCTGTCTGTCTCCTGGTACACAGTGGCATTTCAGATCCATTCTTTTTCATTATTGCAATTGCTCCTGTTCTGTTCTCTGTATTAGACTTTTATGTTCTGCGTGTTGTGTGTCTGGTGAAATTGATCAGTTCTAATTTGTAGGTTGCATCAGTGGCTACGAAGAAAAAACACAGACTCTCCATGTGAAGCTGATGCGGGACCAACAGCTTCAATTAGGTGTCCCCATGGCGAACTTTTGCCTGAGGAAGCTATGGGTGCTAGGCGTTTGCTGGTTCCTGAGAGTCTCTGGCTTTTTATTTACGAAATTGCTAATGAAGTAAAGCCTGATGATCTTTTGGGGTGTTCAACTTTCCGTTCAGACTCTGAGACATGCGTTCAATGCACTGTGGAGCTCACTGAAGTTGCATGCAATGACTATAATATAAGGTGATGAACATTTTTTAAGTAGTTTCGAGCTAATTAGTTGCATAAGTTGCTTGACTTCATTATCGATGCTGCAGAGAACTCAAGTTAAAACAACGCCAGAATCATGAGAAATTAGCTGCTGGAAAAAGTATAGCACTTTATCCCCATTGCAAATACTTCTTGTTGCCCTCTTCATGGTTGTCAACATGGAGAACCTACATCAATGCAAGTGGAAGGAACTCTTCTTTGTGTGTTGAACCTGAATCTTTGAATGGTGTCATTGATTTGCTGAAATGTGAAAAAGTAAGTTGCGACTTTGCCTGGGACTGAGTGATTTTTCCATATAATCATGCTGTCACCTTTCCGAAATATCTTCCATACAGGGTCTATTTAGTTTTTTTTTTTTTTTTTTTTTTTTTTTTTTTTTTTTTTTTTTTTTTTTTTTTTTCTCTTTGGTTGAGCATCTAGTTTTGTTTTGTCCTAATTTTGACTAAGGTTTCTACAATTATATCCCATGAGCCCCCCAAATGGCGTGGAGATTTGAGGGTGGGTTTTGCCTTCCGCTGTATTATTAAAATAATAAATTTTGTAGCTGACTTTTCTTAGTTCTTATATATTATAGGTAATACGTTGTGCTACTTTTATTTAAATGTTATTTTTAATCAAGAGAAAAAAAAAATATATTGCAAAAGACATGATTTAACTTGTTAAAGTGTAATGTTTTAGACGTGAATTAGAATCAAGGATGATGAACACATCTGGGACCTATGTCTGTCCCCTCTGCTTTGGTGTTAGGTGATTCTTCCCTTCAGATTACTATCATGACACGTAATTTTTTTATTATTTTTTTTTCATCTTCACCAGCATTCAAAACTTGTTGAAAGGCCTCCTGACTTGATCTGGAAACGTAATATGATTCTCCAAAGATCATCCACTGTAAGTATATTTTGTCCTTTTTACCTCATGTGCAAAACCGTATTGTAGAGCTTAAACTTGTATCTAGCATTTCCCAATTTATTTTATTTTAGCTTTCTCCACGATAAGATAGTACACATTTTTTTCTTCAAGTCCCTCAAAGTTTGTACTAACTCTCTGAATTTTTTTTTTTTTTCTTTTTCTTTTTGTTTGTGGCTTTGGTTTTAGATAGATGCATTAACAATCATTACTGAGAATGACTGGGAGTTATTTTGTAAAGATTGGGGTGGTACAGAGGAGAAAGGCGTATCTGCTGAAATTGAGTTTGGTGTTTCAGATAATTTAGTGGGGTCATGTGAGAAGAAGGCAATTTCTGTGGAGAATCTGAATTCTCATGATGAAGAGAATGGTGAGGTGGAGACTAGACGGCCCTTGTTTAAGACTTTTCCAGAGGTATTTTTGAAATTTTATTATGTGAGTTTATATATTCCACTTTTTTCTTTAAAAATATCGCGTTGATTGTTTTTAAGAATCTCTAATTAAGTTTTTTACCCCGTGAAATGAGTTGTTTATTATCTGCATAATTTGGGGTGTTTTTTTTTTTACTTTTCAAAAAAAAAAAAAAAAAAAGGTTTTTTTAATAGTGTGCGGCATGCCTGATCTAAGGGTGCCTGTTGGGCAGGTAGGATGGATTAGTGATTAATCTTGAGCTAAACCTGAAGTATATTTATAAAATAAAGGGCGAATTGCAAAAAAAACCCCTCGACTTTCACCTGTTAGCAAGAAACCCCCCTCATGAATTGTTTTAGCAAAAATAACCCCTCAACTATCATGAGGGGGGTATTTTAACTTGATGGCTGTTTAAGGGGTTATGTTTTAGGCGAAAATACCCCTTAAAGTTACCTCATCAACAGTTTTACTTTCTCTCTCTAACCTCTCAAATCTCCTCCATCCCACCATCGCCACCACAACCCACCTCCATCCATTATAATACAAATTTTGCTTCTTAACCGATGGGCAATCGATTGCTTCACTTCTAATCCAAACACACCTTTACCACCATCACCATCATCATCGTCGTCGTCTTCAATCATCCCTTTCGTTAAAAACCCTAATTTTTGCAGACCCATTTGTGAGATACAGAAGCACATTTCTATACATAAACATATACATACATATATGTAGATTATTTACAATAATCTATGTAACGTTTATATGGAAGACTGATAGTGCAATAAATTGAACGAACCTCTGATTACATGTATATATATTAGATTATGAACAACACAGATTGTTGGAACAAAAACGGGAAAAATGATGTTTAATGTCAAGATTAATTAGCTGAAAAGTGTAATAACATATTAATTCCAATTGATCTTCTTTTAAAAATTAAATCAATTCCAAGTGTTAGAATGTTGGGAACCTCGAACCATTTACCTTTCATTATATTGAAGAAGAGAAAATATCACTAAATAACATATTTTGGTGCTGAAAACACAATCAATCTTTAATCTTTCTCTTTTAGCACCTTTTGAATTGACAGCTTTCCAAATTTATTAAATTTTACCATCTTCTTGGGTTGGCTTTCTACTAGGTCGCAGTCGCAGTGTGTGTGTAGAAAGAGAGGAGTGAGAGAAGCCCTCCTTTTCAGATGTGTATATTTCAAATTCGTTCCAAATCAAGATGCCCTTGATTTTGAATTCTTTCACTTGAACCCTTGTCTTCTTCTATTTAAAAATGATAGTAGTAATTGGCTAAAGATGTGATATTGGGCTCTAAATTCTATAATCTCTACCACCCTCTCCTTAAAAACCCTGATTTTTGCAGACCCATTTGATCTCAATTGTGTATTTGTGGTTCTGTGTCAATCGTCATGGGTCATGAATCTGTAGCAGTTACATCGCTGCCGGCGACGTCGCTCGCTCCCTGTTTCCGATTCCACCCCACTGATGAAGAGCTCGTGCAGTACTATCTCAAGAGTAAGGCTTGTGGGAAGCCTTTCAGATTCGAAGCCTTTCATGGTGTTAGAGAGAGAGTAAAACTGTTTAAGGGGTATTTTCGTCTAAACATAACCCCTTGAACAGCCATTAGTTAAAATACTCCCTCATGATAGTTGAGGGGGATTTTTGGTTAAAACAATTCTTAAAGGGGGTTTTTTGCTAACAGGTGAAAGTCGAGGAGGGTTTTTTGCAATTCGCCCTAAAATAAATTTTAGGTTTTTCCATACATTTATCCAATGATATTATCTTTGTAAAAATTACGCTTTAATGTTCAACACTAGATAAATTAGTGTCCTGATGTATCAGAGGACTATCACAGACTTTTTAGATTTTATATTTTTATTATTTTTATATTTTTTTTGATACATTTAAGAAGCATGGACACATCTCTGAGTATTTGAGAAGTGTCACTATTCGAAAACGACACAATACATGTATGTTTCCCTTGTAGAAGTATTCGTGCCTCATATTTTTATATATATGAATTATCAATTGTAATTAAATACCATTGCAACATGGAAAAATCATGTATTATAATTGAATTGGTGGATTACGTGCTAAATTTTGTATTCAGATATAAAATATGCATGAATGGTGAAGCATTTTGTTTTGATTAATTGATGATGCTTACATTGAAGTAACCCAGTTATTGTCATACTTTCTGTAACAACAAAAAGAACACACACACATACACTGTTTGGGGGTGGCATGTGTTTTTGGAGAGGTTTATATATGATGCATATAAAAGGCACCTTCGCTTATCTTTATTTCTTAGGAATTGTTGGATTGTCAGCCCAAACTGATCTATAACTCTATAGTGAAATTTGTAGAAAATTTCTTTTCAAGCCTTGTTAATATGTTGTGATTATGCTAGATTTGCGAGGATTGCATTGGAGAAAGAGAGAGCAGTGAATTGATGAGGAAACTTAACTACTGCAACGAGGATATATTCATATTATTTGTCCGTGGCAAGGAACCTCCAAGATCAGTTATAGAAGGATGCCGAATCTCCAAGCGTTCTCGGAAGACTTCTTTTGGTGACTCAATAAATTTGAACGTTTCTGGGTCCACATCAATATACCAATTGAAAATGATGATATGGGAATCATTTGGGGTATGCTACATTTTTCATCTAACAAATTCGTCCAAATATATATGTGATTTTAATGTTCATATTGTTTGCTTCCTTATAAATGTTTACAGTTTTGTGTGATGATGATTGTTTGTTTCTTTATGAATGTTTACAGTTTTGTGTTAATTGGGTTCTCCTGTATTAATAATTTAATTATGTCATTACCTTGTACGAGGTTTTCAAATCTAAATATTGTGGAACACTTGAAACCTTTAACACTATTAGCTTGGCTATTTTATTTTATTTAAAGGTTGCATATATTGAAAACCCAGAGGTGATACTTTTTATTTTCCCCCTTTTGGGCGCGGTGAGGTGGGGAGATGTGCATGAAAATTTTGTATGAATTTCAGGAAATTATACGAGTTAAAGTCACCCAAGTACTTAAATGTATTATTATAAAGGCAGATGTATTTGAACACGTTTGTGGAAATTTAATTACCAAAGTTGCAAATCTCTGTTACATGTTTACACTCAGAGAACATAAAAATGATGATGTAAAACCAATCAGAATATATGACAAATTTCTGTGGTAATTTCAGGTGATGATAAACATATGTTTACACACTAAGAAATTGAACATATGTAGTACTTATCAAAAAAATAAGAAATTGAACATATGTATTACTTATATCAAAAAAAAGAAATTGAACATATGTATACTTTACCCAATCTGTAGATTGTTATAGAGAAACTAATATACTAATATAGGTTGTTAAAGGTGCTATTTAAATTTGCGCGCTTGTGGTTAGGCTGAATCTGTCATCTGTTTGATTGGGCCCGAAAATTGACGTGACAAATGGGATGCTGTTGATTTATTGTCATTGATTTTCATAATTTTCTTAAAAAGATAAATAGAAAATTAATATCCCAATGGCACGGTATTTATGAAAAAATTAAGATCCCACTGGCATGTATTTGAACAGTTATGATTCGTTCTCATAGCGGTCATATTCTCAAACCTCATGAAAAATTCAGTGTTTGATCCAGGTTAAACCTTTCCCCCCTTCTTGTGGTTATCAAACTGTAATGCAGTGTAGGCTAATTTATCAACAAAAAAAAAAGAAAAGGTTTTGATCTAATTTATTGGATGCGGATGAAACTGCACTGTCACTTACTTGTGAATGCCATTTCAAAATTATATTTGAACATATGATAAGTATATTATACCAATTTATTTTGTATATTTGTGGTATGAAAGATAATCTATTGATAGTAAATTAGTTTTGAAATGTTAGCTGGATTAAATATTGCCTTTCCCTTAAATTCCCATGCCTCCTTGTCATGTATATGTAACTTTTTTCATGGTTGGGGATGAGGATAGCAAGATAACATTTCAGAGAACTTGGCTCTTACATTGTTTTCATTTTGCGGCCATATTCTCAAACCTCGTGAAAAATTCAGTGTTTGATCCAGGTTAAACCTTTTCCCCCATCTTGTGGTTATCAAAGTGTAATGCAGTGTAGGCTAATTTATCATCAAAGAAAAAAAAGTTTTGATCTAATTTATTGGATGCGTATGAAAATCCAAACTGTCATTTACTTGTGAATGCCATTTTAAAATTTTATTCGAAAATATATATGATATCTATATTATACCATGTATTTTAATATTTGTGGTATGAAAGATAATCTGTTGATAGTAAATTAGTTTTGAAATGTTAGCTGGATTAAATATTCGGCTTTCCCTTAAATTCCCATGCCTCGTCATGCATTTGTAACTTTTTTAATGGTTGGGGATGAGGATAGCAAGATAACCTTTCAGAGAGCTTGTCTCTTACATTGTTTTCATTTTGCTGATATCATTCACTCTAACGTCAACGAAACTTTTCATGTGTTATCTCTGTTATAGCTAGATAGATAAATATTCTACTCCAACCCCCCCTCCCCCCATTCTCTCTCTCTCTCTTTTTGATTCTTGGTAGGTGCATCTGCAGCCTTCCCCTGACTGAGTTAACATCTGTGCAGGTTGTCAAAGAAAACCAGATACTTCACAAGGGTTCCAGCATAATTGAAGGGGAATCTGCTACTCTTGCCGACATGAATATATTCCCTGGAGATACTTTGTGGGTGACTGATTCAGAGATCCATGAGAATCGTGATATTGCAGGTAATTGGCATACAGCACAAAATGAACTAATTTGGAGGATATCTTTCTTTAGTGAAAATTATGAATACTAGAACTAGAATGAGAAGTTGAAGTGTGTGTGTTTTCCCATGCCTTCTATGGGTCATTAAGGGTTCTTAGACATTGTGGTCACATCTAGGGTGCTGGGAGAAACAACTAGATACAAACGTAACATTTTGCATCATTTGCAAAAAGTTACTCTCATGATTCGTGTTAGAGAGGGTGTAACTTTAACATGCATTCATGGTTGACAACCTGAGCCTTTACCACTGCACCTGGTAATGGTCCTTGTTTACTTTGTCTTCTTTTCCCAAAAAATCAGTTTTATTTTGAATGTAATTTAGTAATGAAATTTTGAGATAGCCTAATATTTATATTTTACTGTATGCTAAGGTGTAAAAGGGGACGGCCTGGGCCAGGTTGGCCTGAACATCCATAGTTTCAGTTTTTTGTATAGCTTGGGACGCGTTCCCCTTTTGAACACCTTTTAATACATTTTACTTATCAAAAAAAAAAAAAAAAGGTTGGCCTGAACATCTCCCGTCAAATATTCTGGTTGGCTAGGCCATGCTGAAATACAACACCAAAACTGAGGCTTGTGCCTAATTTGTTGGGCCTTTGGACCTTTTTAAAAAATATATTTTTTAACTTCTTTTTTGGAAATTAATATTGTTTTAACTTTTGAAAACAGTCAAATGTAGTTTCTATTAATGAAATTATTAATTTAGTGCCTACACGTGCTAGCTTAACTGGCAAGGCATTTAGGGGTACTCCTCTTAGGTCTCTGGTTTGAGACTCACCAAATGTGATGCCTGGACTTAAATGATGCACGTGGTTTATTTATTAACTATAGTGTCTGTGCGTGATTGCGTGTATCTGCAAACCATCCGAGAGTCCAAAGTGGCTAGCGGGTGGGTTGATTTCTTCGTTACATAAAAAAAAAAAAATTAAACTCTTATTTATTTATTTTTGATGAGTAAGATTTCATGAAAGGTGCTCAAGAGGGGAGAGCTCCCAAAAGAATACAAAAGGCGCCGAAGAAAAACTATAATTTCAAGCTATTCACAAAATCCACAAGATGCCCCATAGATTTACAATTCCTCCCATTGACCCAAAAACAAAAAAGTAGCCAGTATATTGTATTTGAGAGACTAAGTAGGTTTCCTCTCCATCGAAGAATTTCCTATTTGTTACGCGCCACAAATCGTTTCACAAACAAAGGGGAGTGGCCCTCTGCATGTTTGGCTTGGCTCTCCACTAAACACGCTCTCTAAGCCTCTATTAAATCAACCATGGAAGCGGGAGACACCCAAAACACGCCAAATACAATGAAGAACATAGACCAAACATCCCTCGCCACTGGGCAATGAAGAAGAAGTTGGTTCACTGATTCACCTGTCTTCTTGCGCATGCAACACCAGTCCACCACTATTTGTCGTCTCCTTCTCAGGTTATAGAGTGAGAATGCTTTTGTGAGCAGGTGACCAAGAAAAAAAAAGCCATCTTCGAGGGGGTTTTTGTCCTCCAAATCGCCCTCTAAGGGAAGGTGGGGACTGGGGTCTCCGTTAAACTTCGGTTGAAAGACCTAACCTCAAAAACCCCTCTCGAGTTAACCCACCCACACCATCTCATCCATAATCTCACCCTCCACCACCTGGCTGAAGAGCAACGCTAAGAGCTCAGCAACCTCCATAAGTTCCCAATCTTGAAACTCTCTACGAAACTGCACGTCCCAAGTCAACCTCCCATTATCAAGCCGATAACAGTCAGCCACCATAGCATGTCTATTGTGGATGTGATGAATGCAAATCGAAGATTTGACAGGAATAAATTATATTTCAAATCACAATCAACTTAACTAACTTAATTTCAAATTGAGATCAATGGTAATGCTCTTTTTGTATTTTTATTTTTATCTTGGTGCGAGGAACGTCCATTGTGTAGACAGTTTCCAAGGTTGTATAGAATTGTTGTGGATTGTCATGCTTCAGTTGCCGACTGTTATCACTTTGTTAGCGGTAGGTTTTCTTGGGATGTTTAGTTCCGGCGAGCCTTTCAGGATTGGGAGCTGGATGATGTTGTTGGCTTGTTGGATCTTTTGTATCGACAAGGGATGGATGGTAATGGGGAGGACCTCTTGACTTAGGCGTCTTCTTCACAGGGGATTTTTCAGGTCCGGTCTTTCTTCTTCTGTATTTCCGACTTTCAGAATTACTCTTACCTGTGGAAAACGGTTTGGCATTCGAAGACTCCTCTTAGGGTGTCTTTTTTTGCTTGGACTGCTGTTTGGGGGTAAGATTTTGACTCTGGACAATTTAAGAAAGAGACGACATATCATTGTTAATCGGTGCTGTCTGTGTATGGCTGATGAAGAGTCTGTGGATCACCTTCTCTTGCACTGCCCAGTGGCCCATGACTGTTGGAGCCTTATGTTGGGTCTTTTTGGTGTCCAGTGGGTTATGCCTCGGACCACACGGGATATTATGGATATTTGGAAGGGGCAAATGGTGGGAATTCGTGTTCGTGATTTCTGGAGGGTGACTCCTCTTTGTATTTGGTGGTGCCTATGGAAAGAACATAATAGAAGATCCTTTGTTGGGGAGGAGTTACCCATTGGGGTGTTAAAGTACTCAATCATTTGTTCTCTTTTTAGTTGGGGTACGAGGAGAGATCGTTCTTCTGTTGAGGAGATCATGGATTTTTTGGGGTCTTTGGGGCCATAGGACACTTTTTTTTTTTTTTGGTTGTTTTTTTGTTGTTTTTGTTTCATTCTTGGTTATTGTACTAATCTTGGGATGCATTCCCCATTTGAACGTTTTCTAATACAACTTCATTTGTAAAAAAAAAAAAAAAATTACCGTTTGAACGGTAGAGTTAGGTAGATGCAAATCAATATCCATAAGACCTGTTCACCCTCCCCTCTAGGTCTAAGTCACAGCTTACATTAGAGCCTTGGTAAGGTTCACAAATTTTCACAAGGGTTGCAGTATTGCTCTAACATTGGATTGTTGGTGTTGAGACAATGTTCTTGTGGTTTTTCTTCTTAGTAATTTTCCATGCAAGTCATTCTCTTTGTTCTTTTCCTCCTTGGTTGACTATTAATTGATTATGCACAATGGTTGATTGAAAATGAAACCTCAGATAGAGTGGTCAAAATATGATCACAAAACATGAAATGCTAATTCAAAAGGTCTTGTGCTTTTTTTGTCCGGTTACAGTTAATAAAAATACAAAAGAATTATCTTTTTTTTCAGGTAAATTATACAATAATTTTTATGTGCATTACGTCTTGAAGAAGCGTGAGACATCTTAAAAGCTATACATGATTGCATGAAGGAACCACTATTGGTCAAGATAGATTTTCAAAACTAAGTTGAATCAATTAGGGTGAAAGAATGGGAGAGAATAGTAGACTTCTAATAAATTTATGATAAATTTAGTTCTATACTCATTGGTTGTGGGAACTTAAGTTGGATAATCTTGACTACTATAGTACTTCCAAAATTTTGAGATATTTGCTTATTAGTTTTCAACCTTAATTAGCAGTTACGAAAAGAAAGAAGAATAAATGTTGTTTTAATCAAAGACTGGAGGAATGGTAGTTTGTTCTTGGATATTTCAACTCTAGCTTTGTTTCGTTGAAAAGTTCATTAGAATTACTTGTTTCACTTGTGCATCACTAACTATCCCTACTATGAATTCTTAATGATTTTTGTAAAAAAAAATAAAAAAAAATTCAATAGATAACAAATAAGAAAAGAAAAGAGAAAAATAAATAGGTTGAGATTAAAATCTTTTAGAAAAGTGTGACGTCTGGTTTTAGTTTGAATCTATTAAGAGTATAGTGACTATAAAAGTAAAACTAATTGGAAAATTGTTTTAAGATAGGGTTGACTACCCATTAGTGTAAAAGCCTATGTTAGATTAAAAGGAATTCAATACAGTGCAGTGATAATTCTTGCTTGAATCTCCAAAACTTTTTTCGATCTATATTCGTGTGATAACTTGATTATGACCATACCTACATCAAGTGGTGACAGTTCAAGGTCATGACCGCGTTTAAATTTTTTTCTTATTTTTGTTTTTGGTGAACGATGGTGGTGTTGGGCCTTTGAGGGCACCCCATGATCCACTACTAGGCTGTTGCAATCACCCCATCCCATATGCACTGTGCAATTACTGGCAAAATTACTCCTCCCCCTCCCTCCGGCGGGTCGGGGTGGGGGGGATTCAAACTCCCGACCTCTAGGATGTGTGGTGAGAGTCTTGACATTAGGTTACGCCCCTTGGGGTTGGTATGCCTAGTTCATAACACCAAGAAAGTTTTTGGTGGATGTATACTAGAAGTTATAAGTTGACCGACTTAATTTGAATTACATTGACAAAATAAGATGATTAAAATTGAAGTCTATCTTGTGGCTTAAATAATTGTCTTGGGTGTTCCATTAAGTTTTGACTATAAATTAGTTATATTGAAATATTGCACACTACATTACTTATAAAAAAAAATTAAGATTAATTGCAAAAATCCCCCTTATAATATAGGTTATGTGCACAATTAGTCCCTCTTTTTTTTTGAAAATGTGCATTTCAGTCCATAATATTTTAAAAAGGTGCAAATAAGTCCCTCTGATAACTTTTTGGCAAAAAATAAATCTAAAAATCCCATTTTACCCTTTTTTGTTCCTATTTTGCCCCTATCATCTTCTATCTTCCTTCTCTCTCCCACCAACGAGCCACCTCCTCCTACCACCATTACAGGCCACCACCTCGACGTCCTCCGGAGAGAGAAGTGATGTTTTGCAACACTAGTAGGCCCACTACGCGAATCCGGGTAAGGCAAAGCATGAAGAGAGGATGATTTTTCGGTTGGGTCACACAAGATGGTGGTAAGCATTGACGGCAGGTGGTGATCACCGGAAGCTCGTCTGCAACTTACGACGGTTTCATGAAGGAGGTGGTGAACACCGGCCAAACCTAGCCACAGATTGCCACCCTTGCCTTTTGCTCATTCATCAACAAAATCACTGAAACCATCCGCAACAGCCCCCCTTCACATGAAATGAACAAAGACCCATTTCTCTGCCACAGTAACCACCATCTGCCAAGCAAATCCTCAGTTCCATCGTCCTTTAAGCTCGCAACGCAGTCGTGGAGCTCGCTGCCATCACCATCGCTTTGAACCACTATCTGTAGTAACGATTCCGATCCTTGTTCGTCGCTGGTCACTTCTTCATCACCGTTCAATCACGCCGCCGGCATCATCTGCATCGTGCTTCACGTGCTCCTGCGAGTAGATCTAACTTGCCCTTCACGCGCTCCTACTTTAGTGACATTTTCTCAGTACTCACCAAACAACACGTTCTCTCTCTGCTTCATCTCCGAGGGCTCCACCTACTTCGCCGCCGTCACCTACAAGTTACGATGGCATCCCCATCTGGAAGGCCGGTGGCATTGACACTAGACTTCTCTGCCTCTCTCCAGTTCCGCTTTGATGACAACCTCCGCCTCGTCAACGGCCTCGGTGCCCTCGCCTGGCAATCCAGCATAGCCGGCCGCATCGTCTCCTCCGCCGCCGACTTATCTTGCACCTCCAGATCTGGACTTGCAACTCCGCCGAGGCGTCCCAAGTTCGGTAAAGCTTAATTTTTTATTTTTATTTATTTGATAAATAAAGGCAAAGCTTCATTTCAGTCTGGCAATGCTACAAGATGTGATGAGCCACAACGGTGACCAACGCTATAGAAGTTTCGATGTACTCCATCGACGACCAAAACTGAAGCTCACAGACCCAACGATGGGTGGAGAAGATGAGGTGGAGAGGAGAGAGAACTGAGAGGAAGAAGAGAAGAGAAAGATGAGGTGCTAAAAATGGGCAAAACGGTCATTTTACATGGCCCGCATTTTAACATATTAATTGACATAAGGGCATTACAGTCATTTTAAGTCTCATGGGGCTTATTTGCACCAAATCGATAGTATAGGGGGGTTTTATACTACACACGGATTTTTTTGCACTATATCGATAGTACAGGGGGATTTTTTGCACCTTACCCAAAAAATATTGCACGCTGCATTGGTCTGCTTGTCTTTGATGTTTCAGTCAAAATATTTGAAGAATACAAGATGCTCTCTTTTGAAGTGGATGCTTCAGTTTTCAAGTGCTTAAATTCATGGATTTTTTAATTATGTTTTTTATTTTTTAATTTCTTTTATGATCTTTATAGATTTTACTGATCTTTCTGGTAAATATATGTAAATTTTCATGAGATTATTTGTTTCCACAAATTTGAGAACCCAAGTGAAGAATTTGAGACGTAATCAATTTGAGGTGATCATTGAAATTAGTTCTTGGATTTCTCATATCTAGTTTTGTGAACTTATTTTTGGTTAGTAAAAATTCATTAAAGTTATCTTGTCTCACTTGTGCACTACTAACTATCCCTGTTATGATTTAAATTTTAAATGACATTAGATCAATCACTTATTAAGGACGAGCACTGAGTAATGTCCCTTTTACAATCACATATTTTAGATTGATTTTCAAATATCATCATGAAGGGAAACATGAAATTTGTTGAGAAATTTTCGAGTGTATATGTTACTTTTGCATCGTATAATTAAACATTAGTTTCAAGTTTCTTCCATTCGAAACAACAGTTTTTTCTGTTTTGCTTATTGATATTTTTGATAAGCTTCCTTGTGTAAATGTTCCACAGAGGAGCTTTCTGACCAGAAGATGGAGGTGCAGCAGGCTGAGGAAGGGTTTCGTGGAACACTTTTGACATCAAATATATCATCCCAGATTATTTCTGACGAATGTTATCGCTAATAGTTGTCTGCCTATAAAGCTCAACTCTTCTTTTGATATCGATACTTGGTGAGGAATCTACTGAAAGCTTCAACCTGTTTTTGGGAGGTGAGATGTTATTTCTTTTTTCCAACTTTTTCTGCTGTACTATCTTGCAAATGAGTTATTTATTGTTTTGTTGGATACGTGGATCTAATTTTATTCTCGTAGCCAAAACCATAGCTACAATGATGATGAATTTATTGTTTGGCCATACCAACCCCATTTTTGTTTTGATTTGAGATCGTTCTGAATTTGAATTTTATTGCCTAAGGTGCATCTTTCTTTCTCTCTCTCTACCTCTTTACTATTTTCTTCCTACTGCTGTGAATGAAAATGTATATGTGTGTGATAATAAGGCAAGCGGCTGAAGACTTGGCAACCTTATGATAGCTGTTTGGTCGTGTTCTGGGTAAGGGCTACTTTTTAGCAGCCAAGTTTGCTGGTAACAGCTACTTTATTGTGGTCTCTCCCTTGGTGTTTGGGCGGGGATTTCAATTCTGTCAGGTCACCGTTAGAGAGGTCTACAAGGGGAAGGAAGTCCTCAGAAATGGATCAGTTTTCTGACTTCATTGATGAACATCTTCTCATTGATCTACCAATGGAAGGTGCAGCCTACACTTGGTCTAATGGCAAGGATCCAATCACTCTTTCAAGATTGGATAGATTTTTTATCTCTGGGGAGTGGGAGGAGAAATTCCCGGATGTTGTTCAGGCGGTTTTAGCAAGGGTCACCTCTGATCATGTTCCTTTGGTTTTGGATTGTGGGGGTTTGTGTTCTCGAAAAACCCTGTTCCGATTTGAGAATATGTGGTTGAGAGCGGAGGACTTCTAAGGGAAAGTTCGTTCTTGGTGGGAGGGAGCAATAGTTACAGGTGTGCCCAACTTCATGTTAACAAAGCTCTCAAATTCGATCTTAAGCAATGGAATAAGGATGTTTTTAGGAATCTTGAATGGAGGAAGAATATAGTCTTTGCTGAATTTTTTGAGATTGATCGTCTTGAGGAGGCGGGCGGGGATGTGGAATCTCTATGTACTAGGAGAGCTTACTATCAGGTAGTTCTTGCTAAGATTGCTAGCATGGAGGAGATTTCGCGGCGACAAAAATCCCGGGCTCTTTAGCTGAAAGAGGGAGATCGTAACACATAATTTTTTTACAGACTAGCTAATGCTCAAAGGAGGAGTAACCATATAGGACGTATTCGGGTGGAAGGTGTGGAGCTGTGGAGGGAGGAAGAGGTGCGTAATGGGATCGTTTCTTTCTATCAGAAGCTTTACACAGAGCCATTAGCTTGGAGACCCAAACTCGATGGTCTCCCTTTTGAGGCCATTTTTGAGTTGGATAGAGATGGGCTTGAGATTCCTTTTACTGAAGAAGAAGTTCTAAAGGCCTTATCAAGTTGTAATGGGGACAAAGCTACGGGGCCTGACGGGTTTACTATGCATTTTCTGTTGGAAAGCTAGGCGGTAGTGAGAAATGAGGTGATGGGTACCTTTCTGGAGTTTCATTCTACTGGCGTTTTTGAGAAGTCGCTAAATGCCTCATTCATTGCCCTCATCCCTAAGAAGGGAGACGCTTCTGACATTAAGGATTTTTGACCAATCAGCTTAATGAGTTGTATTTACAAACTCATAGCTAAGGTGCTTGCTCTTAGGATGAGGGAAGTTATGGATGTGATTATCTCAGACTCCCAGAATGCTTTTGTTGGAGGAAGTCAAATTCTTGATTCTGTTCTTATCGCAGGCGAATGTGTGGATTCAAGATTGCGAAGTGGTGTTCCTGGAGTTTTATGCAAACTTGATATTGAGAAAGCATATGATCATATGAACTGGAATTTCCTACTCTACTTGTTACAAGAATGGGGTTTGGAAGTAGATGTAGGAAATGGATTGCGACATGTTTTGTTTGTCAAGTTCTCGATTCTTGTGAATGGTTCTCCCATTGGTTTTTTTGGGTGCACTAGGGGTATAAGACAAGGCGATGTCATCTTTCCTCTTTCTAATTGTTATTGAAGGCTTAAACAGACATATGCGCAGGGCAGAGGATCTTGGTCTCATCAAGGGATTCAGGGTGGGAAGAGATATAGACCATCAGGTGGAGATCTCTCGCTTACTTTTTGCAGATGACACCCTGGTTTTTTGTGATGCAGATGTGTCTCAACTCAGATATTTGAGGTGCATCCTGGCTTGTTTTCAGGCGATTTCTGGGTTGAAGGTAAACGTGGCTAAGAGTGTGCTTGTACCGGTTGGGAATGTTCAGGATATTTCTTCTTTAGCTGCAGTTCTTGGGTGTAGGGTGAGTTCTTTTCCTATTCCTTATCTAGGTTTGCCCCTAGGGGTCTCTTCCAGGATAGTGGGGAGTTGGGATTCTGTGATTGACAGGTATGCGAAGAGGTTGGCAGGATGGAAGAAGCAATATTTGTCTAAGGGGGGTTAAGTAACTCTTATCAAGAGCACTTTGTTGAGCCTCCCCATGTATTTTCTATCTATGTTCCAAATTTCATGCTCCGTTGCTGATAGGATTGAAAAAATTCAAAGGGATTTCCTTTGGGGCAGAAGGGGAGAAGAGTTCAAGTATCACCTTGTCAGGTGTGAGCAAGTTTGCAAGCCCATGAAGTTGGGTGGTCTTGGTATTAGAAGATTGATTTCTTTTAATCAAGCTCTCTTGGGAAAATGGCTGTGGAGATACGGGAAGGAAAGACATCATCTTTGGCGAAGGCTAGTCTCATGTTGGTATGGGGAAGACATTGGCGATTGGACTACCCTTCTGGTTTCTTTTGTGGGAGGAGTTGGGGCGTGGAAGTCCATTCGGAAGGGATGGGATGCCTTTTCTTCATATATCAGATTCAAAGTTCGTGATGGTAGTTGCGTCCGTTTATGGGAAGATATTTGGTGTAGGGATTAGCCATTATCTCGTACATTTCCCAGATTATACAGAATTGCAGTTGGTAAACATGCCTACGTAGCTGACTGTTATCGGCTTGATAGTAGTGGGATTACGTGGGACGTGCGTTTTTGGCGTTCATTTTAGGATTGGGAGTTGTACGAGGTAAGTGTTTTTTTGGACCATTTGTATCGACAGGAAGGAATTGGCAGAGGTTATGACAATTTGGTCTGGATTCCCTCTTCTCACGGTCGCTTTGAAGTAAGATCTTTGTTCTTTTGTCTGTCTAATTTTGTCAACCATGACTTCCCATGGAAGACCATTTGTCGCTCTATGGATCCAACTAGGGTGGCATTCTTTGTATGGATCACTGTTTGGGGCAAGATACTAACAATTGATAATTTGAGGAAGAGGGGAAATTGTTTTGTTAATTGGTGTTGCCTATGCAAGCAAGATGGGGAGTCAGTTGACCATCTCCTAATGCATTGCCTTGTGGTGCATGACTGTTGGAATCGTATTCTTGGGTTGTTTGGCATGTGTTGGGTAATGCCACGTTCTTCTAAGGATTTGATTCATGCTTGGAGAGGATGTCGTGCGAGTAGGGGTGTACGCGATTATTGGAGAATTGTCCCACATTGCATTTGGTGGTGCATCTGGAAGGAGAGAAATAGTAGAATGTTCGAAGGGAAGGAGTTGCCTACGACGACACTGAAACTTTTTATTATTCGTTCTCTCTTTAGTTATGTGAAGAGGAGTTCATGCTCCTCTTCTGCTGATTTAATTACTTTTTTGGATTCTTTGGGGCCTTAGCCCTCGGTTTCACTATTGTCTGTGGGACGCGTTCCCCTTTTGAACACCTTTTTTTTAAAAAAAAAACACTTGTACCTTGTACCTTTAGTTTCTCTTTTTCCACTTCTTCCCCTCTCAACATTCTTCCTTAAAACATTTCTATTCCAAAAGTGAATCTTCTCGAGGAAAGAGTATTCCTAATTTCAATTTTCAAATTTGAATGAGACCAGTAATTAATCTGTTCAAGGATGCATGACGTCATAAAAGATATTTTTAGCAATTTTTTAGTAATTTATTTTTTATTTTATAAATTTTATATCTTCATATAAATTAATGGATAGTGTTTGCTATAAAAAAATGTCTTTTATTGGAATGGAAAATGATCAATAACTGATCAGGTGGGTGAAAAGAACTGTACATGACAAAGAATGAAGACAGAGCAATTGAGATTATCATTGCTTCACTAGATGAAAACTTTATTACTCATTTTAATAGATCACATTTGAATTTATTTATAGAGTGTAAGGGGTGTCGTCAATTCTAGCATTGTTAGGATTCTTAGTTAAAAAATTATTGGTGCTAGCTAGGTTTGCAAATGAAATGAGCAAACGAGCTGTTCATGAAAAGCTCAGGCTCGGCTTGTTAACGAGTTCATTCGAACTCGTTCAAATAGTAAATGACCCTTAGCCGAGTCCAAATTTTGAGCTCGTTTCATAAACGAGCCAAGGTTGAACACATTGAAGCTCGACTCGTCTAATAATAAATTTGGATTTATGTTAGATAAGTTTTGTATAAATAAAGTCGATTCAAATAAGGCCCACTTCTTATCTAATTAGGCTTTTAATAAGACGTATATTGCTTTAAAATCACCCAATTGTGAAGCCCATAAAATACACTAAAACCCTTTCAGTTGTGTGCCATAAGATTACAACAAAATCTAATGGTTCTAATTAAATTGTATCCAGCAAAATAAGAGGTGGTCTCATTACCTCTCTCTCTTGCAACCTTAGCTATCACCCCTTTCTTGTAAATCCTAGCATTTCTCTCTCCCCCTCCCTCCTGTGAGCTCAATGGATAAATCCTTCTCTCATCTGTGTCTCACTGTTTTCCCGAGTTCTCTCATCTTTATGTGATTGTGATGAAGGAGCCTACAGCAGCTTCCTTTCGGTGGCCGTTGTCGATACTACCATGGCTACAATGCAAGCGGCAGTGATGCTAGATAGACCGATGGTTGCTGAAGATTGTATATATACAAATGAGCTTGAGCTGAGCCCGAGCTTAGCTAAACAATGTTGAGCCGAGCACGAGCTTGGCCTAGCCAAGCTCGTCCAAACACTTGCAGTTTCCTTTGACTTGGTTCTTATCTTTCGTTGATATATTAGTTGTCTTTGGCCACAAGCTACACAAACCAGAAACAAATTTCCTTCTAAATTATTGTTGGACTTGACTTCATAGCATTTTCCCTCCCCATAGTAATAGTCTTGTAACCTTGATCTTCAAAATTTTAATGTTTTTTCAAACATGAATTGTAATCATACGGAACACCAGGAGTCTGCTATATGGCGCAACTTAGATATGAGACTATCATACAACTATGTATAAAAGGAAGGTAATAATAGATTTTGCATTAAAAGGGACTATGACTCTATGCATATGGTTGATGCTTCAAATCGTAATTTCTGGCATAAGATAACCTGCTCATCACTAAGTGTCAAAAGCATATCTAATAGGCTAAATTACACTGGGGTTTGCCCTAATTACACACGGTGATCATTGGGCATAATTGCACCATCCTCACCTCTGGTTTTCTGTGTATGCTCAATGACCTCCCTCCCGTCAACTAGCCGTTAAAACCATCAATGAATATTTATAAAATGACTAAACTGCCCTTTACTTATATAAAAAGGAATATTAGCCTTATAAAGTAGTGTAAAATTACAAAACACCTAACCACATTTCTCTCTCTTCAAACCCACTTTTGGATATCCAAAAGCACCACCATCCACCACAACAACCTATCGTTGCCACCTCCCACAACCGAATCTCCCATCTCTCCTCATTGTCTCTCTCTGAGAAACTTCAAATCCTTATTCTTCATTGTGTTGGCCAAGGTTAGCTCAAACATACAAGTGCAATGCATGTAGGAGACCCACATGGGTGGGTCATGTTCTCTCTCTCTCTCTCTCTCTCTCTCTATATATATATATATATATACACACACACACACACACACACACACACACACCAATCCAAGTTACAATCCAGCACTATCATTGGTCTGATTTTGAGAAATGTCTTTCAATGGGTCTGCATAACACACACTCTGAAATCTACATAAACATACAGTACTACAATTCTATTAAATTTTTATATATCGTAACACTTTTATAGAAATAAGCTGAATTGAGATATATAGATCTTTCAACAGGTATTGAAATTTAGCTCTACCCCCGAATGATTAACATATTCTTTTCTTCCAATCACTCCATATATTCACCAAGAAACATTCCAATTCGTGCCCTCCTCTCCCTCTAAATTTTTTTTCACTATCATGGAACAAAATCTATTATGATATACTGAGACTTTGTTATTCCTCCAACTTTTATGGATTCTTCGAAATACCTGCAAATGTCACTAATTCAAATCCAATTGAACAAGAAATTTGAAATCTTGGGTTCTTCAAAAATTCCTTTATCTCTTTGACGACTTCTTGGGAGAGAGGAGAGATTGAAGTGAAGATGATGAGAGAGACTTGATTATCTGAGAGGGAAAGCAAACTGATATGTACCATTGACGGGTTGGAGAAATTTGGTGGGGAAGAGGATGATGCATTGTGGGTGAGAGAGGGGCAGCCGTATTACATGCCACTTTAGTCATTTCACTTGTACTATATTTTGGATAAAAATACATTATAAAATTTGCCTTATGTAATATGCACATTGGGCGATATCTATAACCAAGAAATTAATGCATCCAACTGGTCTTTTTAATTATTTTGGTAGACTTTTGCATATAAAATCTTTTGCTGTTGTCAATATTTTAATGTTTATGATATCAACTTTTATTTATTTCAGTTATAGCTATTGCAGACATATTCTGTTCTAATAATTTATATAATTGATGTTGGTTTCTTCCTTTATAGATATTTTATTGTTTTAAATTGGTGTGTCTTTGCTTCATATACATTGTAAATAAAAATTACTCATATCTTTCTTTTCTTTTTTTCTCTTTTTTTAACTCAAGAAATAAATTCCTCTGTACGTCATTTCTTCTGTGATCCTGATATATATATATTTTTTATTTGATTATTCTTCATCCCTTCTTATTCATGAGCAAAACCAGTAGCCTGACATAGGTGTTGTGCCCATTCAGGATGCTGGTGCATAATGTGAATGTAGACCTTGCTTGTACAAAGGCTGGCGACTGCCTCGGAAGGAAACAGCATAAATTGTTGCAGGTCCAACTGTGTAAAACATTTTAGTTTTGTGTATATCCGTTGTGGGTATAATATCATACTCATGTGGATGATGTATTCTTCATCGGTCTTATCATCTGCATCTTGATCGTGTTTTACAGTGGTAGGGAAAGGCAACCTTGTTAGTTCTCAAGTCAGTGACATTTTTGGACATTGTCACAGACAGCACTCAAGCAGGCAGTTGCCTTCTTGTTCGATTAGGAAGTATGCTGAATCGGCATTTTCTGAGTACTGTACATGCAAGTAATGCTTCCTATGTGTTGGATTAGTTTTGCTAAACGAGTCTCGATGTACATTTGTTAACATTTTCTTTTGTGTATTTTCTGAGTACATATTATAGTATGTACACTTTTTTGGGGTTGCAGAAGACTTGTCAAATACATGGGATGGATAGATGGTAAGGTAGTGGACTTCTTGGTTGACCCTAATCATATGTCAAATGTAGTATTTGCAACCCTGAAATGCGGAGGTCTCTTATCCTCTTCCTCCTCCTCCTCCTCCTCCTCCTCCTCCTCCTTTTATAGTATTATTTAGAAGAGGAAGCTTCCATTCCTTTTTAACTTGATCTGCTGCTGTTCTAGGTTGTGCTGTTGGTATCCTTTTGGTTTAAGTCTCCTTTTTAACACGGTTAATGTTGCAAGGAACTGAAAAAGTTGTTCACTTGCTCCCGTTGTTGCTATACTCGAGTAAGTTTTCACATTTATTGAGGAACTTGTGTTTACTCCTAAATCCTAAAATCAATAATTTCTTGAGGATCCAATTATTGAGGAACACGGTGTTGACTCCTAACTCATTCATTTAGCTGGTATTCTTACTACATATTTTGTATAGATGAAGTGTGGTGACAATGGCCATTTAAATGTGTGTGTATATTCATATATATGCAATTGTATGTCTAAATACATATATACGGACTCTTGTGCCTTGTGACCTATATATATATTGCTCTTGTGCCCTGTGACATATATATATATATACATACGGATGGGTGATGAGGAAATGGTCTTGTAATTGTGAAGGAGTTGTCTTTTAGTGTGTTGAATCGCCTAGAAATTTAGAGAGGTGAGGACGTATGGTGACATTTATGATTTGACAAAATGGATTACTGCGTTTGAAGGTTTGATCAGGTGAAATATGTTGGGCATTTCATATTTCCATACTTATACATTGCGGAAGACACGTTGGTGGTCCTCAAAAATAGTAATGTTATGATGTCTAAAAACATAAGCGTTGAATTTTGATTTGGAATTGAGAGAAATTTAATTAAAATTTTGATAATTTCAAATTCAAATCATTGATTTTGTTCTCCCAAGAGAAACACTTAGTTAATTAAAGGATAAAATACACGGATATCCCATATGGTTTGTCATAATTACAGACATTTTTTCTATAATTTGAAAAATAATTTGGATCTTTACTAAAAATGAAAGTAACATACATAGATCTCCCTTTTGTTATGATCAACGGAAGTCAATGATGGATTTTGCTGATGTTTACTGGATAAATTGAAATTCTCATATTATTCTTCGTTCATCTCCTCTCACACGCATACAGATGGGTATTACAACCATTTACTATAACAATTCGAGGGCATTTCACGTCACTAGGAAGGGAGGTTTGTGTAGGTTGGTTTCATTTTTTTGGAAGGTGTAAGTAATTTTTCAATCCATATGTGAGGTCACAGTAATTATGGAAAACCAAAGGGGAGGTTCATGTAATTTATCCTTACTTAAAAGAATAAAATTGATTGTATCTAACCTTAAGGTTCGTAGCCCGTAACAAATTTGATTTTATCTATCCCAAGGTTCGAAGCGGTAAAAGTAAGGATAGTAGATGGTAAGCCATCAGGGATTGGAAGACGGGGTATGGAGTGCCTAGAGCAGGTAAAAAGAAAGATTTTCGTGGTATTAGTTTTGGACGCGGACGTGATGTAACGAAATCGAGTCTGTATTAACGTTACATAACGAATTCGATTATCGCAGTTGTGATTTTTTTTCGATCTCGCACAAAGTTTATAAAATGCACTGATACGCAATTTTTTACAATATAATCAAACAATTTTTTTTTTTTTTTTTTTTTTTTTTTTTTTTTTTTTTTTTTTTTTTTTTGTGAATTTGAATGATTTTTACTAATTTATAAAGATTATTTAACATAAGTATTGACCTATATAATTTCAAGTCAATGCCTTAATTATTTAGTTGATATAATTTTTTTCTTACCTTGACAAAATTTTTTTTTTTTTTTTTTTTTTCCTTAGTTGGTACTCACACACGCATGCTTCCACTAAGGCTCCAACCCTTGACATTCCTTTGGAAAATAGGGGCTTGATATTACTAGGCCAGTGGCCTGTTGGTTTACCTTGACAACTTAGTTAATATAATTTTATTATACCTAAACAAAACAAAAATGTTTTATTTATAATCTTAGAATAAATTACAAACACATTAGGTAGAATAAAGGTGCAAGGTGTAAAAATGTTTTTTCATAAAAAAAAAAAAAGAAAGAAAAAAAGAGAGAGGGTAAATTACATCGACACCCCTAACAACCATATACAAGTTGGGCCAATTTTGAACACTGACACCCCCTTAAGTTTGCTCCATTGAAAAAGACACCCCTTAAGTGCTCTGACACGTGATAAAATGACCAAAATGCCCTTTGACTTGTGGAGTGACACTTTTGAATAGTGAAATTACCAATTTACTCATTCTAACAAATTTGAAGTATAAAAAATTACCTCTTCATCTCAAGCATCTACCCACAATGCCGCCACCACCTCTTACCACCATCACCACACCTCTTATTTCCTTTCTTCATTCTCTCTTATATATGTACATATATATAATATATACACGTATTACACGGAGACGTGCACATATACACAATACAATTGCAATCTAATCCACTTATACACTGCTTTAACCTTCCCTAAATTAATCACAAATTTTTTCTTTGCAACCCAGTTTCAATGGAGACCTAAACACTACTAAAAGATTCCATTTTTCTCTCCAGCCCAAATTGCCACCGCAAGTTGAACTTGGTTGGTATATCATAAGTGCTAAGTGTTTCACATTCAAGCTCTTAAAGTTGCATATGTTAATATCTTAGTAATGCTTATGTATTGATACTTATGTTAATTACTTGGTTTCAGTTATTTTCAGGTACTTGTCTTCAAAACCGGTTAATTCTACCTATTCTATGCCTTTAATGATGTTTCTAAGGATTGGGGAAGATGCCGGTGGACTTTGGGATGATTCTAGGCTCAAAGAAGATGAAAAGTTAGAATCCATGAAGCTAACATCAATCCTAGCTCCTCTAGGATCGATCCTAATCATTCCAGCAGAATTAACAAACATGGTGCAAGCTTTGCCACACTCATATAATTCTCTTCCAAGGTTAGCGGGACTTGGGATCGATCGTAGCTCTTCTAAGATCGATCCTAAGTGCATCAGATAGAAATTATGATAGTTGCAAGAATTGTATGTTTTGATCTCTTATTATCATCTACGGTCCAAACTTCATCAAAAGCTTATGGTTTACATTCAGGGACCGTTCTGGAGTTATTTTAGGGTAAGATTACCACAATTGAAGGGGGAATTAGACAAGTTTAGAGAGAGAGATTGGAGGCTAAGGGCCATTGTTGCTGAGTTTTAAAGGTTGGAGAAGGTGATTCCGGTCAGAATTTGCAGTCAATGGAGATGACGTTCATCACATCATTGAAACTTTCTACATTCTCCATGAGTAGCTAAATCTTTTCTTAGGGAATTAATGTAACCCTAACCAAGTTACACAGTTTAATTACAATTATATTTGGGGATTTTTTCTGGTTATGCATGATTATGATTGCATGGTTTGAGAATTGACTTAGTTATACTAAATAATTAGATTTAATGTTAATATTCAGTTTTAATAGGATCATGATCTTGTCTTAGAATTGTTTTTGTTATTATTGAAATCAAATTACTTTTATTTTTTGTGATTATGGAAGTAACGATCATGCAATGGTTTTCCTTGAATATATAAGTTGCACTATACCTTAGTTTAGCGTAGTTAGGTAGACAATTTGTGCCAACCGAAGATGATTTATACTTAATGCTTGATTAGATATATCCTCTTAATTGAACTAAGGTTAGCTTATAGCCACATGGTTAGCAATCATATATATAATGAATTTCCCCATATTTAACATAATTGACCATTGTTACGAGGTTAGTGGTGAAGTCAATTCCTTAGGGCTTTTCTCCCTGGTATCTCCTGTCATCTAACTTAGTCAAATTTTAGTTTTTTACTTTCATTGCAATTAAAAATAGAAAAACAACCAAACAATCTATTTTCTTAAATCAAATTAGCAATAATTTTATACTTAGCAATCTACTACAATCTTTGAGGTTCGACACTCTCAACATAGCCCTATCCTATAAGTGTACAAAAAACACCCCAAATCTTTTCACATTATGCAAAAATACCCCTCAATCAGAAATTTGACATAAATTAGTGTTGTAATACATGTTTTACCATTTTACTCTTCTGAGAATGCCCAAGGGGGTATATATGCTACTAATCTCATAGTATAGAGGTATTATGTGCAAATTACCTTATATATATATATATATATATATATATATGGAACTTATTTTTCTATATATATCTCTAAACTTTTTTTAAAAAAACTTTGAGAATTTGTAAAACAAGGATTTGAATTTTTAGAGATTTCAGTTTACTGTTTTTTACTAATTTTTTTTTTCATCATTTTTTTTTTCCGTACCAACACTGTTAAATAAGAAAAGGAAAAAAAAAAAAAGGGAAAAAAATTCCCAATATCAGTGTGCACTGGTTTTTGGAGTTTGGAGCAGATTTGTTTTATTTAGTTTTCACTTTATTTTCGTTTTTTATTTTCTATTTTTATCTTTACTTTACTTTTATACTTTTATACTTTTATTTTTATTTTCTATTTTTATCTTTACTTGTCCATTGTCAGCATCCTCCAATAGTGTCATTTTCAGTCATTTTACAAAATTATTTATTTTTATATATTTTATAAAATAGTTCAGTAAGGGTAATTTAGTCAACTTAGGGTTTAAATTTGTCAGAGGGACCTATTTGTAACAAATTGAAACTTTATGGGTGGTTTTTGCACATGAGGGGTGTCTTCTAATAGTGTCATTTTCGGTCATTTTACAAAATTATATATTTTTATATATTTTATAAAATGGTTCAGTAAAGATAATTAGTCAAGGGTTTAAATTTTTCAAAGGGACCTATTTGCACCAAATTGAAACTTTAGGGGTATTTCTTCAACTTCAGCATCACTATCTTTTTCAATTTCAACTAAGGCTTGTGGAGTTTCAAGAATGGCCATGAAGAGGCATT